TATATATATATATATATATATATACACACACACACACACACATTTCATTGCATTTCTAAAGTGATCATGTGGAGTCCTAAATTCTGAGACTCAGTGAAAGGCTTGTATTTTTATAATTTAATACAACAATTTTAATAATAAAAAAAATTTGAGTAAAAAGTTTAATAATTTATTTTTTTAAAGAAATTAATGATATTATTCAACAAGGATGCATTAAATTGATCAAAAGTGACAGTAAAGACATGTATGATGTTACAAAAGATTTCTATTTTTAAAAAAGTTATTTAAAACTTTCTATTCATTAAATAATCCTAAAAAAAAAGCAGCACTGTTTTTAACAATTATAATTGTTTCTTGAGCAGCAAATCAGCATATCTGAATGATTTCTGAAGGATCATGTGACACTGAAGATGTAATGATGCTGAAAAATCAGCTTTGCATTACAGTAATAAATTACACTAATACTAAAATAGAAAACAGTTATAATAAAATTTCACAATATTATGGTTTTTACTGTGTTTTTGCTAAAATAAATGCAGCCTTGGTGAGCAGAAGAGACTTCTTTCAAAAACATTAAAAATGGTAGTGTAATTGCCAAAAAAAAAAAAAGTAACATGAAGGCTTTGTTTTTCTTTTTTTTTCTATATTTTTGTATTTTTTTCCAGTTAAAATATATAAACATCCTTAAGATTTACTTAAGTGAAATTGCATCTCAGAAGATATACTTGTTCACTTGTTTTAGTGAATATATCAAATTTTAATTAATGTATTTAAAGTATTAAGAAATTATTAAATATATTTATAATATTTATTAAGATACATAAAAATTTAATCTTTTACATTTTAATGTTGGCAAATATTTTTTCATGTTGTAAGCATTAATGTAACAATTTGAAGAGGTTAATTAAAAAGAAAAAAAGGATGTTCTTACTGGAAAAACATTTAGCAGTGAATTTAGGTACAGTGCTAAACAGCTGCTGCTAGTAATCACACTTGTGTGAAGTGTAAATGTTTTTCTCCTCAAACCCTGTATGGAAACAGTTTGCGTCTAAAAGAGTTTTTACACTTCCAAGCAGATTTAATGTGTTTGATGTGCTTAAGTTTGACGTTGTTTTTTTTCTCTCTCGCTCTGTCAACAGAATCACATCACCTTCGCTGAGATCACGTGACCTTGAATCGCCAGTGTGGCAGACACATTGGACATCCACGCTGTTTACCGTCCAATCCCGATAGTCCCTGCTCCACGCTAGCGCAGTGGTCATATTCTCTATGGTGTCATTTTGGATCGCTCTGCCCTTGCTTTGTGTGTGTGGAAATATTGGTCCTGTCAACTAATAACAGTTACCATCACGCAACTTATGACTGAAGCAGCACTTCACATTTCCCTGACCGGTTCTGTTGGCATTCTTGCAGACCGAGCTCACATCTAGAGCTCAGAATATCTCAGCTGCTCGCATATGTGGAGAGCGTATGTGTCTGTGTTTGCATTTGAGAGGTTTATGGCAGGTTGATGCAAATACTTACCTATTGATTTCAAAATGGACTTAACTTGTGGATATGTGTGTTTTTTTGTCTTCGTATATTACAGAAAATGTTTGTTCCTATATGAATTTGTTTCCCTTTTAGTGCTTGCATTAAATGAGTGCAAACATATGGAAGCCTCTTTCTGCCTCAGAGTTTTAAAAAAAAGATAATTGTGACACTATTTTTCATAATGTAACTTTTTCTCAAAGTGTGTCAGAAGTCTCGAATTGTGACTCATATGTAACTCACAATTGCAACTTTTCTAATAATTGTGAATTTATACCTCACTATATGACTTTATTTCTCTTAATTGCAACGTTATGGGCCCTATTTTACCGATCTAAGCGCATGGTCTAAAGCGCACGTCGCAATTGCGCTTAGGGCGTTTCCGAATCCACTTTTGCTAGTCTAAAAGGGTTGTCCCTATTCTCTTAATGAGTAATGGATGTGTTTGGGCGTAACGTGCCATAAACCAATCAGAGTCTCATCTCCCATTCCCTTTAAAAGCCAGTTGCGCTCGCGCCATGGCGGATTCGCTATTTACATTGCGGAATTTGCAAGCGGAAAAACTGAACGCTTCTCTAGTGAGGGAACGGATCTGCTCGTGCATGTAATTCTGATACATGCAAAGACTATCCATTATGACATGTAGGCATTTTTATATTTATGTACACAATAATAATCTTTTACATTTTAATCCTTTAATTTTTCATTTTTAAAAATCTTTGTGTGCTGCTGCGCATGCCTGTGTGTGCAATAAGTAGGGATGCACCGATACCACGTTTTCCAGTACTTGCCCGATACCGATACTTTTATTTTTGGTACTTGCCGATACCGAGTACTGATACCAATATTTTATTGCATTTGTAAATTTTTTAAATATTGGGTACAGAAACCAAAAGAGTATGTATAATGTTAGTTGGTTAACTTCATTTATCAAATAGATAGTCAAACCAAAATGTATTCAGACACCTTCAACATTTCTCACATTATCACAGTTTATTCGCTATAGTTTAGAAAATGGTAATTAAATATAACAAGAACTCAGAGTTAAACTGTGTCAGAACAAATTCAGCTTGATAATATAGATAACTTTGATAGAATGGTATGTAATGGATTATAATCAACCAAAAATTATTCAGACAGCTGTTAGTATGACAATATTTACACAACTATCAATACTTAGCCGGGCAACCCTTAGCCTTAATGACAGCCTGTAGTCTCCTGGGCATGCTGTCACCCAGCTTCATGCA